ACACACACACACACACACACACACACACACATACACACTCGTGACGGTCATATCTTTGAAAGTGAACCGGAATCGTTCCGAAGTTTATAGAATCAAAATAAATGTTTCGAAGGTCATTTACATAAATCAAAGGCCAAAGACATACTACCTGAGACAATAGCTGAAAGTCATTCAAATAGTATCGTAACATTAAAAATTCAATCCGGTCTGTCATCTCTGATTAGGCCTTCCGCAGCTGCACAGGGATTTCGTTCCACGTTTTTGGATGCTTAAAAAATTGCACCTGTCAAAGACCTCAATGAATTAGCTTTCCTCTCTCAGTAATGTAAGCACAAAATAGGAATGCAAATCATTGATCACACTTCCGGTAATCCGGAAAAAACAGCCGGGTAATTCTTAAAAATATTTCGCAAAAATGACTTCGTTTCATTGTTTTACCATTATTATTCGGTGAGTAATTCGACTATCATTACCTAATTCTTTAACCCAAGAATGTTATTGGAAAGTTATTGGCACAAACAGATACTTACTCTCCGAGTACATCGGAAAAAACTCTGCATGCTCCTCGACTCTCGTATCATTCAATTAGGCCGACTAAGTAGAATTTCCTCAAATATTGCTGAACTATCCGAATATTCCGCGGAACGATTCGATTCGTTAATGAATACTGTTTTAACTATATTCATTAAATATTCAGATATAATCCTGAAAATCTTCGCGGATTTTAATCATTCATTATTTCTCCGTGAAAAGGACTTATAAAATGTACCGGGGAAAGAAGCATAACGTATTACTACCTCTGATAAGTTGAAATTTCAATTTCAGAGATATGGAAAAAAAAATGCAAATTATCTTCCAATAATAACTTGCACGCAGTTAATTGCAGGTGAATCAACGTAGGCACGGGAATATGAACTATACGTACAGGTTATAATTGCTTTCTTTGTATAATTTTGGTTGAAACGAGGTTGTCTTATTATTTCGTCTTCAATACAAATAGAGGATTAGAAATGAAAATTTTGGAAAAATCAATCCTCAAATAATAGCATTCATTTGATGTTTGCATTTATATCTCTTTCGCGAATTCGAAAATTTTAATGTTTTAAATTTCTCCATTAAATTATGGCAAGGATTAGAGTCAATTTTCAAATCCTCAAAATTGTTATATTTTTGCTCATTCTTTTCTGAGTTTCTGTTAATTTTCAATTGGAGGAATAGCCGAATTTCCATACTGATAATTTCAGAAAGCAAACAAAGAAAAAAAAAAAGAATCTCTTGGCTGAAGTTAAGAAAGAGACTGGGAGATATTTTCCTCCTATCGAACAAAATATAAATTTAATTCCTAAAATTTCATTCTAATGAAGTAAGAATGTCATAACAATTTTTCACTTCTTTTTAAACATCAGAATTGAAGTTTGAAGAAAGAGTTTAAGGATTTAATACGTTAGAATTAATAGCTGATATGGCTAGTATCACATCACAGTGTAAAGAATGTAAAGCGCTATTGTCATTCAATGAATGCAAAGATGGCTTATATGTCTTTTAATTAAACTGTTGCAAAAAAGGCAATCATATATCTGAAAAATATTTACCATAAAGCCATTAATGGATGATAAGTGATAAAGGATTGATATTGAGAATGAGAAAATTTTCAGAGTTCACATTTAAAATTATTCAAATAATCAATTTGTTTTATTCATAGAAGAGGGATATTTTAGAGGAATTTTAAAATGCCCTAAATAAATGATAGATCCGTGTCCTTCATACTGTAGTATAATTTATTGGAAAACAGTAGTAGTAGTAGTAGTAGTAGTAGTAGTGGAGGTTGCCGAGAGAAGAGAAACGATTGAAGGAGTTTCATCAGCTATGATCGGTGAACGTTACTGTCTTAATTGAAATGCAAATATTGAATTAAGTTTAAATGGAATGACAGTTAAATATGAAATTGTATTTAAGTAAATTATACTTGTTAAGCATTAGACATCACTTTAACTATGAATGAATCTATCAATCCATCAATTTTATAGGCTAGAATTAGATTTTGTTCTACAGTACTAAAGATGGTAGTATGTTTCTAATTTAACTTGTGACCTAAGTGAAATGACCTTGACCTCAAAGATATCTTCCTTTCTCTCTCTCCCTCTTTCTGTCTTTCCCTCTTATTCTCTCACATATACATACATACACACATAGACATACATGCAATGAGTTGAAGTAAATAGTCAGGTATATGAATTACCCATAAAAGGGATAAAAGATCTATCGCAATCCTTCAATAGCCTAACTTAAGATAAATGATCAGAAGGAAAAGTAGCATAAAAATCTCACAAAATACATTTAAAATTGAAAAAAAAAAGAGTCTCTGATATTAATTCTCTTCATATTAAGGCTCACCAATTACAACAGCAAATAATGTTTATCAAACATTTGGCCATTTAGCTGTCGGTTTTCATCTTTGAAAGTCATTACATTGTAATCTTTGCAGTTGTTTTATTCAGTCCATCATTTAAATTTGATTCAATATTTACATTTCAGTTAGAATAAGAAAAAAAAATGCGAAAACATCCGATGGGAGAGAATGGAGATTGTTGAATTGGAAATGAAATTATCATTTTGTTCCTAAAAATGAATTACTATTAGTGTTCATCGAGTTTTCTTCGTAAATTTATCTGATTCAGCAAGCAATGATCAAAATGAAAGATTAAAGGCCACTATAATACGACTATCAATTGCTTGATTTCATTAACAGGTAATTTAATCGCTTGTTTGATAATCCACTATGCTAAATGCATTATTAGTATTACATTTAGATATATGATATCCGTATTCCGCTGTACTTTTTATTTATTGTATTTGTTTTATTCCAATAGACGAAATTCATGTTTTGAGAATTTGATAAGAGTATTAGTCTAAATTACAATTAACATCCAATTATTTTATTTTCATCTTTATCCATTTTGAACTAATTCAATATTTGGTGTTAGTTCAGGGAATGTTAGCACAATTACTGGTAACATGTCTATACAATAAACAAAAGCGTTACGTGAGTTTAGAGCCGTTCCAACGTAACAAATGATGCACGTTTGACATATTCAATCATATTAACGCTACAGTCCTACTTCACAGAAAACAACTATTTGACAGGTCAGGGAACAGATAATACCCAAATAACCGATAATTATTACAGCAATCACTGTCAAAAATCAAAATCTGAAGTGATGTCAAAGTTCAATCAGCGTATTTCCTCCTTGCTACATGAGATCATTGCTGAATTGTAAACAACAAAAGCAAATATAAGCAAATATCAATCATTTCTTTCACAGTGATGATTTAGGAAGTTTAAATAGGATTTAAATGCTATATGTGCACACAAAATATTCAACAATTGCTATATTACAGAATGGGAATAGTTAAAAAGTCATCTAGAAATGATAATTGTTTGTCTATATCATTTTGTAGCAGTAATATTTACTGGTTGCAGTAATTTATTGATGAGCTTCATAAAACTATTCCTATAAATGGAAATCATTTTGCGAATCTGGTTGACTTCATAAAATGTTTCTACAATCATTTACTATGTTCATATTCAAAAATTAAAACCATAACAATCATCTTCTAGTTCCTTCATCCGGGAATTTCCTGTTCTTTTTTTGATTTTTTAATGGTCATTTCTCTGCCCACGCCACTATGAATGTATATCTCAATCCATTTATACGTGCGATGAATTGACTCAGTATCTTCATCAAACGGTGGTTGCTACTGCTAGAAAAACTTATTGACAATTTAAATCAATTTATACACATGATTATAAAACAGATTACAATTTAGTGTTTATTTATGACAACGAGAAAATTCAAAGGTAAAAATCACAAGATCGGAGGTGCAAAGTTATGTAGTACCAGATTAATTTACAAAATAACACTGAAAATATCACTATTTTTCAAGAAATAGATTAGCACCGGCTGCTTATTACCTTTTCCTTGCCATAATCTTTGCCCTTTCCTTACTTATACGATGAATTCTTCCCTATAACTCTTTCAACATTTTAATCAGCGCTGTCTGATGAACTATCACCACCATAATCTGCTACTAATGCTAAAGGTTTACTGCATAGTTCTGACTCCGCAACTGGAACGAATTCATCCTTGATATTCGTTAAATTCATCTGGCCAGTACACAGCAATAATTCTTCAGGTTCAGGCTTGACATCATTCAGATTCTTCTGAAAAGTCATGTTAGTAGAAATACAATCTTTCAAACTTTAAAATGTATCAAAACCATTGAACCAAGAAAACAAAAACAAGTGAAGAGGGGGGAACTTTCATAAAAGGAAGTTTTTTTTAGATATTTCGAATCTCCAAATCCTTTCTATAGTGTGTGTACAAATTATTACCTTGTTCAAAATACCGATTTCATCTTCATTTTCGTATTTTGATCTTTTAATAATACCAAGACTTCCGGCTGTTATTTGTTCCTGTTCGTTATGTGCAGATGACACACTATCAAAAGCACTGCGTTCATTTCTACGAAGTTTCATAGACAACAACTGCTTTTGCTTCACATCGTCCTTCACTGAAGTTGATGGTTGACGACTTGAAAATATGGGCTTGTTCAATATCGCTTTCCGTTTTTCTTCAAACTGTTCTTCAGAAACTGAAAAGTAATACAGTCAATATATGAAAAATAATGTTTTTTTTAGATTAGAAGCATTAATCATATAGTTCTCACTGGATTAATTCATTAAGATTTATTCCAAACAGCAGAGGAAGCCCACTGCATACATAAATTCCATAAATCTTAGAATTTTTCCAGTGTATAATATCGTCCTTTAATCTCTTTAACATAGGAAAACAATATTAAAATGTTACGTAAATTTCATATTTTTGTACCGCATGACTGCAGCAGCAAGTTTTTTATCCTCAACACTTTCTGATACCAGCTTAATGTCCAAACTCATTCTCTTCAGCAAGTCTTCATCTTTGACTCTTTCCTCCTTTAAACTAGTTTTTTCAAGCTGAAATAGCATAATTTTATAACAGAATTATTTATAATAGACTGAAATATACAGAATATAAAACACATGATATGAAGAACAGGAGATATTAATTGTAAATGATCTTCATTTAAAAAAAATGTGTACCTTGAATGACTTCCTCAAAGCTTGATTAGCGGCAAAATCGTCCCGCATCCTTTCCTGAATCCATTCCAATTTATCAATCTTATCGGCTGAACTTGCTGCCTTTTCTTTGTCTTGCTCCACATGTTCAACCTAAATTCTACAATTTCTCACGAAAGTTAATGTTTGAATTGAGAAAAGTCTGCATCACTATTATGATTCAAGTATTTAGCTCTGTCATGTATATAATTTCATCTCAATTTTCTTTTAAATAAATACTTTTTTGTCATTCATATTATTTGGGAACTATAAATAAATTAACGATACAATACAGCAACCAAAATTAAACCTGAAACATCCGATCGCTTTCCAACTGTCTGCTAAAACCTCGATCAACGGCTCCAAGCTGATCGATGGTAGATGGATCATACCGTTTCTCCTGCCGACGACAGCCTTCCACAAGTTCATAATCAAAATGCTATAAAGCTAACGTTTCTCTTCAAAATAATAGTAAATGCAACAAATTAAGTGGAAGGAAAATAACATAAAGCATTACGAAGAGGAATACAATTCAGGATAAGAGAATATTTTGAATCCACAAAACTTCTTGAAATAATTTTAAAATAACCTCAGGATCTGTACGTATGACGAAGTAATTATCACATAGATGGCATTTCATGCGAAATTCATATAACGGTGTCGTGTAATACATTCCGATTTTCTTCTTTTCAGCATTGTACCGTACACCCATTCCAATATGGTTGTTGCAACCAAGACACCAAATATTGAATGGCATTTCAAAACTAAATATTGAAGAAATAAAACATAAATATCTCACAATCACTTCATCAAGAATAATTTAAGAAATAAAATATGCAAGGAAACCTAAAATATGTAAGAAAGTAGTAATTACTTTATGAATTAACTTATATCAACTTTCGATTCGCAAACTACATAAGAATACTTATAATAATATTAACATTTCAAAAATTAAATGTAACATACCGTATAATAAGAATCCCTTGCTTGATTTTAGCAGCACGTTCTCGCAATGCATGCGTCCCATGGTAGCTGTTTAAAGTTTTATGCTTTTTATAATCAAAGTCCGGTGGATAATAGAAATTCTGTCCTTTACGTTCACCCATATTCTGCAAAACTTCGTCAAAAAATTTTTAAGAAATATTATGGGAAAAACTTACGGAATTAAAAAAATTGCTTCCTTTTATTGAAAAAAATGTTCGTCAATTCGGGGGTAACGTAACCATCAAACATGACTAACCGACCAAAGCAGATCTTATTTGTACGACATACATTCCCACATTTAAAGTAAAAATATCTTCATTTGTAATACATTACAGTTGAAGTAAGAATTCGAAATTATTTTAGAAAATCAATATTTTATTATAAATG